TTACAAGCTTGTAAAATGTGCTTAGTTTCTCTTGAGTAAACGATCAGGTAAGGAAATATCCTGGAATCATTCTTTGGTTCCCAGGAGGAATTTCAGGACTAAGTTATTTGAACGTAATTCAAGGAAAATTTTTTTATTTAAATAAATCCAAAGAGGTCCATCTATCTTATCAACTAAAATCCTTATATGCTACAGCAATAATAATCATTGGATGTTTATTGTGTAGTTTTTTCGAATTTTTTTGTTTTAAGGCTGGAATGAAGAAGAAAGTGAACCCGGAGGAGTACAAGTGTTCCGATTACTTTAAATTCGAAAAATATTCCTACTGTGATATAGAGGTAACCAGTTTTGTTCTTCGATGGTCATTATCCGTGACGAATAAATAGCTGTAATTTTAAATATTAATTATTTGGACATTCATTATAATTTTATCTGGGTTGGTGGCGTAATTGCATGCTGAAAACGGTCAAGAATTAGCTCCTCGGAGATGATTTATCTGCTAGCTGTTAAACCATTTATTCTAATCTATCTGATGATAGAAAGATATAATAAATTAGAATAAAGAAATATTAAATTATCGGACAAGGTTTTAGATAAGTTTCATTCAAAAGAATATTTTATTAGTTTAAATCTAGAATGCAAGTAAGTTTTGCAACATTGTTGTAATGCAGATGTTATTTTCACTTTTTTTTTTCTTATATGCAATGATTACAGTAGCCTAGTTAGTATACAAATTATACAGAATAATTTAATGATTTTGTACTGTGGATGGTTATATTATTTTGTATAAATGATTCCGGAACATAATTTGGTTTAAAAGATATTAACTTTTGGAAGATCACTTAATTGATGAGATGTGCGAAATAATTTTCAGGCAGAAGTTGTATCAAAGCGATTGCCTCAGCCATCAAATAAGAAGCCTGACGAAGAGAGAAAAGCCAAACCATAGGATCTGATGTAGCTGGTTGATGCATTTTAGACTGTATTTTTTGCAGAAATCAGTGATAATTTTTGCTGCATTGTCTTATAAAGTATTTCAAAAATCTTCCCCAGTGTAAAGCTAGGGGGAAGAGTTGAATAACTTCACCTGTACCAACAAAGTGATTTTTGTGTTTAATTCGTATTGATTTCGTTTAACTTATATGGAACTTACATTTTTTAAGTGCTGACTTAACGTCTTATCCTAATAACCTTCGCTATGGATACAAAAAACTGACGGCCTAGTTTTCCTGGAAAATAGAATAATTTCTTGCTTGTAGGCTTAGCTTAAGCTTGTTGCTCATCTCTCCAGACTTTCTCTTTTCCACGATACACTGCTTATCATTATTTTGAAGTTAGAGCGTAGACAATAACCAGTGTATTATTGAATTGGTTAATTTAGTGCTTTAAATGCAATTAATATTTTTCAAGCTTTGTGGATTCCTTTTTGAACAGCAATTATTCAGTTAAGGAAGTGAACCGTCACAAAATCCCATCTTAATGCATGCATTCACTGTTAAGCGAAATTGAAAATCGTTTAAGATTATCAAGGAACGGTGAAGTTGCATTTTCTGAAGCTGTAGTTAACTTCGAAGGTCAATATTGTTACTATTAGTTAAAATTAGACGGATCTAAATCACAACGGCTGTCTCAGCCAAGGATTAAATTCTGTTAGAATAATTCGGTTATTTGACAACTTGCAATATGAAGCCCAGAAAAACATTTAGGTCTTGTTTAATAGGCCAAAAATTAATCCTGAGTGACGCATAAGATTGGAAAAATACATAACCTGTCTAATCCACTATAAAGTTTTATTGATCATATAATTAGCTTGAGTCATGTATTAAAACTAATTTTCTGTTATTTTCTATTGCCATATTTCCAAATTTTATTCAAAATTTCAATTTTTTGTAAGTTTAATTTCTCCAAAATTATTGATTTTAAGATGAGTGAATTTTGTTGATGCTATTCATGGAAATGACAGTGGACATTTCAGAGACATTAATATTTGACTATATTTCATATGTCAATGATGAGGAACACATCTACGAGACAGTTATTGATTTTGGGATGATTGAGCCATGTGACCGCTTAGTTTGGGTCACATATGTCGTATCTCTTGCTATAATGGTTTTGCGTTTCATACTTCTGCGACAATAAGCAAGTATTGTGGGATTGATCAGATCTCTTCATTTCCTTGATTCTTATTATATTCGCAAATGGACACAACACTGTTTACCAATATTAAATTGTTTACAGGGATATTTTGTAGATATTTCGTATAATTTATGTTTCACTTTTTTTTTTTTCCGGGAAATTCATCCTTATTCTGTTAGACAAGTTTTTCTTCACATCCGGAATTGTAATTCAAGATTTTTCCTGATTTAGTTTAGTCTAACCTATTAATTTCAGTAATTAGAGAATGGAAGGGTTAAATCGGTAGATTCCGGATATGTTATTTATCAAATTGTAATTCATGTTCGTTTTCAATATAAAATTTAAGATAACATTAGATTAGGAAATGGAAAATTCTTGCGGTCTATGATTTGTTTATAATTATTTTGTCATTTTTCTAGTGAATTTTATAATCTGTTACTATTAAATATTCAGTGGAATGAGATAATTTCTTCATGAAATAAACA